CACGTGGGCTCAGTAGTTGTGGCTCGCAGGCTCTAGAGCTCAGGCTCAGTAGTTGTGGCACATGGGTTTAGTTGCTCCGCGGCATGTGGGATCTTCCCCAGCCAGGGCTCGAACCTGCGTCCCTTGCTTTGGCAGGCAGATTCTTAACCACTGTGCCACCAGGGAAGCCCATAAATTTGTATTTTCTAATGGCTAATGATGTTGAACATCTAAATGTGCTTATTTGCCAACTATCTACTTCCTTCAGTGAGTTATACATTCTATTCATATGTTTGCCTATTTTTCTAATTGGAGTATTTGGTTTTTTACTATTGAGTTTTGAGAGTTCTTTATCTATTCTAGATACTAGTCCTTTGTCAGATATATGAATTCCAAAGTTTTCTCCCAGTTAGTAGCTTGCCTTTTCATCCCATTAACAGCATTTTTCCTAGAGCAAAGGAAAAATTTTTTTCATTTTGATGAGGGCCAATTTACTAGTTTTTCCTTTTTACAGATAGTGTTTTAGGGTCCAATCTAAGACCTAGTCCTTTGATCCTGAAGTCTCTGCCTAGTCTTAGATTCTGAAGGTTTTCTCATGTTTTTGTTTTATGGTTTCCCTAAAAGTTTGGTTTTACATTTTGCCTTTGAGTACATAATCCATTTGAGTTAATTTTTAATAAGATGTGACGTTTAAGTCTCGGTTCCTTTTTTGACCTATGGATATCCAGTTGCTTTAGCACCATTTTGGGGATAGTCATTAGTTAAATCTATTTCCCCTATTACATGCCTTCACTAATCAAGGGATTTTAATTGTTGCTACAAAAGACTTGCATGTCCTCCAAGCTGAACATAGCCTGAACAGAAAGATGTTTGCCTGAGTAATCATTCCACAAACTTGGAGTCAGCTGCAGGTAGTTCATTTAAGCCAAGAGTCAGCTGTGTCTAGTTCCAGCTGAGCTGGTTAAGACTGGATGGGACCACCAACTCTTCAATTTGGCCCACAAAAGTGTCCACTCGGTGACCTCTGGGATGTGCAGAAGCCTATAGCTTAGTCGTGCTTGTACAGAAACACGATTATTACACCTTTTCCCAGTCACCTTTCCTCACACTCCCCACGCTCCCTATACCTCAGACTGCCCTGTTTCTTTATTCTTTACCCTATAAATGCTCCAAGCCCCCCGCCTTCAGGCAGGCGGATTTGAGATTTGTTCTCCTGTCTCTCCTCCCTCAGTCTGCCTTGGGAATAAACCCTCTCTTTGCTACAAACCTTGTTGTGCATCAGGCAAAACAAGCCCGGTTCAGTAACAAAAGTCTATTCCTATTTTTCCTCAATTGAATTACTTTTTCATGTTTGTCAAAAATTAGTTGAACAGGGCTTTCCTGGTGGCACAGTGGTTAAGAATCCGCCTGCCAATGCAGGGGACACGGGTTTGAGCCCTCGTCCGGGAAGATCCCACATGCTGAAGAGCAGCTAAGCCCATGAGCCACAACTACTGAGCCTGCGCTCTAGAACCCGTAAGCCACAACTACTGAAGCCTGTGCACCTAGAGCCCGTGCTCCACAACAAGAGAATCTACTGCATTGAGAAGCCTGCGCACTGCAACTAGAGAAAGCCTGCGCACAGCAACGAAGGCCCGACGCAGCCGAAAATAAAATAAATAAATTTATTTTAAAAAATTAGTTGGACATATTTCTGTGAGTCTATTTCTGGCTTCTATTTATCTATGTGTCTACCCCTCAGCTAGTACCACATTGCCTTGATCACTACAGCTACTTGGTAGGCCATAATATCAGATAGAGTGATTCCTCCCACTTTATTCATCTTCCTCAAGATGGTTTTAGTTATTTTAGGACTGTGCCTTTCCATATAAATTTTAGAATAAATTTATCTAGGTCTCCAAATACCCTAATTTTTAAATTAAATGTATATAATTTAAAAGAGCTATCTAGAGAATACTATTTCAGTCATATTTTTGTCTTTTTAAATTACTTTGTGACATATAGTACAAGTTGGATTAATGCCTATGGCTGGCGCTGATTGACTCCTTGACATTGCAGTTTAAAAAGTTGAGTAAGCCATTAGGCTTTTATATTGCTTCAATTAAGGCAAATGGGGGTAAGGAGGTAAAACTGCCGTTTGTTTATAGACTTCTACTGCACAGAATGAACATGGTTCATTATAAATATGTTTTTCAATCAAATCAACAAGAAAGAGATAACCAACCCAACAGGAAAGTGCACAAATAGTATAAACAGGCAATTTCACAAACAAGACATGACTGTAGATGCTCAAACCCACCAGTAAACATAGAAATGCAAATTAAAGTCATAGGAGATCTTTTGGGGGGGCAGGATCTTTCAAAGTGTTAAACATGCACAGCCTTTAACCAACAATTCTACTGCTGGGAATAGTTTATCATACAAAAAACTTAAATGCATACAGAAATATAAAACACAGGATATGCATGTTAGCGTTGTTTGTATAGAGAAAAATCAAAACAACCAAAGTTCATAAATGTGGGACTCACCAAGTTAATTGTGTTTAGCCATATTATTATTATTATTATTTTTTTGCAGTACGCGGGCCTGTCACTGTTGTGGCCTCTCCCGTTGCGGAGCACAGGCTCTGGATGCACAGGCTCAGCGGCCATGGCTCACGGGCCCAGCCACTCCGCAGCATGTGGGATCTTCCTGGACTGGGGCACGAACCCGTGTCCCCTGCATCGGCAGGTGGACTCTCAACCGCTGTGCCACCAGGGAAGCCCTAGCCATATTATTTATACTCTGTAATCATTAAAAAGAATGGAGGAGATCTATATGTATTTACATGAAAAGATCACTAAGATGTATTGGATAAATGAAAACATGTCACAGAGTAACACGTATAATAAGGTTACAAACATGTAAAAATGTAGATCTACAAAGGTGTGTAGAAATATGTAAGGATAACATATACATTACGTATGGCGAGGGAATGGGATTGGAGGTAGATTGGGGAGAAAGGATTAGGGAAGAGGCCTTTCTGGTTTCACTTTATATATTTCTGTATTGTTCAAATTATTTTTACATTAAGCTCGTTTCACGCATTTCTTTAGTACTTGTAATATTTTAAGATGTTGTGTGTGCGTTTTAGATTGCTGCCAACCTCAAGTAACTCTTATAAGTCAAATTGAACGTATTTAACTGAATGTATAGGAGTAATATAATATTGGCCGACCAAAAATGACTTTTGTTTCCCACCTAATTTATTATGGACTCTTAGACTTATGCTGTTTTTCAGGGAGTATTCCCACATATCACTAAACAACTCTCTTGGCGTTTCAGACAAAGGCAAATCTGGTACTCATTAGTGAGTCATTTTCTTTGGCACTGATAAAACAAACATGGGGTTTTAGAGGCACAGAAGTGAGCACTGATCTACTCTTAGACTGTAAGCAGCAGAGATTGTAAAACGTCGACCATGATTTTCATAGGCAGGGGATACCGGCCATCCATTCCTAATGCGGCAAGAATTTTCAATTTATTTTCCGAAGACTTGTTGAACTGTGTCTATCCATCTCAGCATCCAGCCTCCGGTGGCACTTGCAAATAGCCTTCCTTTTGTTGCCATGTTTATCAGTCAAGGGTTTTGTCTGCAAGTGACTGAATCATGGCTGGCTATCTTAAGCAAAAAGGAAATTTATTAGAAGGTCATCAGGGCTGACCGAATTGATGAGAGGCCAGATGGCCCCACTCGAGAAATGGGAATAATCTCAGGGCAGACGGTATGACCAGGCTGAGCAACAGAAACCATGGCAATGGTCACCTAAGAGGACAACAAGGCCTCTGCCTCTGTGATAGATCTGACCTCACAACCTTGCATGACAAAGTGCAGGACAGTGTCCAATAGGAAGATCCAAAGCCATATGTCCCCTGAATCTGTCAAGGCCAAGTTGGCTACTATCTCCCACTGAAAATACATATATTGGGAGATTTCTTAAAAGGTAGATGAGAGTGCTAGAACAAAATGCCACAGTTTGCATGGTGGCCATGGCTAAGGGCAAAATTGTGGACTATTATTAACTTGTTAATATAATATTCTCACAGTGACATCAGAGCACAGTTCTTGAGTTACCTTGCTTTTTCACAAGATCACTCATTTGCATATAAGAATAATATATCTTACCAGTATCAACAATTGTAAAGTGGTCCTGTTTCATTAGCAATCGATAAACAGCCACATATTGGGGAAGGAAGCGTTTTAAAGTACATAGAAGGCAAACAACAGGCTATTATGGATCTCTTTTTTTTCAGCCATAGAAAGTTATAATTAGGTTTAAATAGGTAAACACGGTGGATTTAACAAATGCATTACTATTTTCTCCTTCCTCAAATCCCACTAAAATGACACTAAATGGATATACTTTAAGAGATCTTTATCTAATATGAAGGTTCTGGATGCTAGGAAACAGATGTGAGTGGCAACTACCTTAGCAGAACAAGGAAGGTAGATCCTGTCTTAGTAGTGAGGGAATCTGAGAAGTAACCATTACACTGTAGAGAAAAAGAAAAATGCTCAAAAATTGATAGTGTCATATACTTGCATAAGTGGTAAAAATGTGAGAATTGGTTGAAAGTGTGTTGAGTAATCATCATAACTCCCAGATCCATGCCCCAACTCTGATCAGCTTAATCACTGCTCTTCTCCTCTTATAAGACTCAAGGGTTGTTTTCCCCCTTTGAAGATGGCAAAACAGAGGATCTCTGGACAGGACAAAATCAGTTACAATAGAGAGTAGAAGTAATGTACTCAAAACAGAGGTATTAAGTGGATATTTTCATAATGAATGATGAGGCCCTGGTTTCTTTCCCCACTCAGCTTCCAGGTAATGGCAGCCAGACTATCTCTTCCAAGCAAGTCATTGGAAGATTCTTATCTGGGGAATAGGACCAATCTAAGAGCTCAGACCTAAGCTACCTTTCACAACAACACAGCCCGGCCAAATCACCCTAAAATGAAGATCCCAGCCAACAAGACTCACCTGTGTACTCTGGGTCTTCCTTTTTTTACTTCCAATTCTTAAGTATGAGCAAACACTCAGGGGTCACCAGAAATTGAGAAAGCATCTAATACAAAAAACAGTGATGAAAACAAATGAACAAAAGGAACTTGGAGGCAACAGAGACTAAGTAGAGAGAAGAAAATTTCAAAATCCAACAAACCAATATCCTTATACAGTCAAAAGGACTGTACATCCATGAAATATAAATATCTACTTTTTTTTTTTTTTTTTTTTTGGGGGTATGCGGGCCTCTCACTTGCCGTAGCCTCTCCCGTTGCGGAGCACAGGCTCCGGACGCGCAGGCTCAGCGGCCATGGCTCAGGGGCCCAGCTGCTCCGCGGCATGCGGGATCCTCCCGGACCGGGGCACGAACCCGTGTCCCCTGTATCGGCAGGCAGACTCCCAACCACTGCACCACCAGGGGAGCCCTAAGTATCTACTTTTAAAAGGGTTCATTCCAGGAGAAGAAGAGCAATCTCGGGGGGTTGGAGGGTGGAGCAGGGAGAGGAATGATGGCAGAAATGAAAAACTGAAGAGAAGTGTTGGAAGATAAAGTTAGGTAAATCTCTCAAAAAGTAAACAAAAAAGACAAGTGTGAAAGACAGAAGAAGAGATCAGGAAAACTAGAGGATAAGACAATAATTTCCAACATCTAACATACAGTAAATGAATACTAGAAAGAGAGAACTTGAGAAACAGAGAGGAGAAAGCAGCAAAATAATCAAGAAAAATTCCCAAGGGACTTCCCTGCCGGGTCCAGTGGCTAGGACTCCACGTTTCCACTGCAGGGGACATGGCTTGATCCCTGCCTGGTTGGGGAACTAAGATCCCGCAAGCCGCACAGCATGGCCAAAAAAAAAGAGAAAAAAGAAAAATTCCCAATATTTGAGTATTCCAGATCCTAGGAGCCCGCCATCCAAAACAATGGTGGGGCAAGTCTCTCGAAGAACATACAACCTCATGAAATTTCACAGCACCAGGGACAAAGAGAAGATTTAACAAGATTCTGGGGTTGGGGAGAAAGAAATTCAGGAATCAAAATATCATCAGACTTCTCAACAGCAACGCTGGAAAGCCTGATGCAATGAAGCTTTGATGTCATTAAAATTCTGAGGAGGATAATTTCTAACTGAGAATTCTATAAATTATCAGTCAAGCCTATCAGCCAGGATCCTGGCCGGAAAAGAGAGGGTGCACTCCAGGAGGATAATGGAGAAGCTTTAACAAAGGAACGGGCTGTGAAGGTTTGAGCAGAGCCTATTACCACCAGGGCACAAAGGGAAGAATGAATTCCTAGCATGCAGAGGGTAGATTCTCGCAAATGGTTACAAGACAAGAGCTGCATCCTTTAGCAGAGGATGCGGATAATTGCCTCAAGCTGATGGGAAGGAGGCCAGGAAATACAGGCCCCAACCTCCCTCCTCTTGCCTCCCTCCAATCTCCTACCTGTTTCCCACTGGCCAGACACCCTAAAGGCCAGATGGCAAGTGACTCCAACAGTGTTGTTTGTAAACCTCAGCTCTCATGAAACTGAGTAGGGTGGAGATGGGTAGAGTAAGTTATAAAGACTAAATCTGCTAAAATGTGTAAAGCCTTTAGAATAATGCCCATCATCTTTTTTTTTTTTTTTTTTTTTTTGCCTGCACTGCTAGGCTTGGAATCTTAATTCCCCAACCAGGGATGGAACCTGCACCCTTGGCAGTGAAAGTGTAGAGTCCTAACCACTGGACCGCCTGGGAATTCCCAATGCCCATCACCTTTTAAACACTCAATATATCTTAGTTATTATTGTTGTTGTTGTTATTGTTAGTTCACTGTCATTATTGTCATTAACAGGGAACTATTAAAATTCACGTGAAATCAAATACTGACAAACTTTCTAACCATTTTCTAAATCTACTTCCTCTTTCCCTGATAATGTTCTTCAACATAAATACATAAAATATATTATAAAATTTTATTAGCATAAAATAATATTTCCACTGATTCCAGGGACTTTTCAAATTCTTTCCAGATTTATTAGTTATACTTCATTTGGAATAAATTTTTATTGGACTTACTGGTAGTGATGTGTAATTCAGAAGTAGTATGACTGGGCAGAGATAACCACAAAGAATTAAGTCAACCCTGCTGTTTTCCAGGAAAATGTTATGGCCTTAGTACTTTCCCATGAAGTAACTTAATCAGATCACCATAGTGCGATGTTTTGCAAAATAAGTACTATAATCCCCAGAAGTGCTAAACAGAATGGGGTAAGAGGTTGGGGTGGGTGGAGTGCTTAATAATAAAATAACAGAATTGAATCGACCTCAAAATATGACTAGTTCAAAACACAAATAGCCATTATTACACAAAACGTATTGCTCAATGTTTCACCACATGTGATGTAAGTTTGAATAATAATGAGATGCCAATTTTGGTCTACCAAATTAGCAAAAATTTAAAAAATTATTCTATGTAGTGTTTGTTGGAGTGGAAGAAAAATGGTACTCATACTGATGGTGGAGTGTTTATTAGTGCAAACCTTTCTAGAGAGCAAGCTGGTTTTATGTATTAAAAGTCCTTAAAACATTTAGACCCATCACAGTCTACATGGAGGAGACAGAAATGAAAAGGATACCATAGTATGCATGGTGGAAATGTGTTCCATGCACTATGGGAACAGAGAAGGAGAAATGAGTCAAGAAATAAACTGCTCAAAAGAAGCAAAGATCATTTCACAAGAGATGACATTTGGATAGGATTTGAATAGAAGTAATAAAAGTTCATCTGTCAGAGAGAAAAATTTCAGAAGTTAGTCACACTTCTCCAGAGTTACATATCACTATGCAAAAACACAGCAGCGTGGAAAGGCATACTCATCAATAGTGAGACTTTCGATGTGTCTGGAGAGGTGGGAGACAGTTCCTGACATTGCTTTTAAAATCGTAACGTAGAGACAAGTTAAACAATTGCTTATCTGCAGCACTCCCTCCCCCCAACCACCAAAACCCCTAATCTGGCAAAAAAGAAGATGAAATAAGAAGGCTGACATAGAGACAAATATTTAGGAAGCTAAAGTGGAATTTGTTCCAAGCAAAAGGGCAGCCAGGTTAGCAAGGAGTGGGCATGAGCTGGTAGTGGCAAGTAGCCTGAGATGCCACACTACCACTTATAATTATATTAAATATTTAAGAATAAAATAACTCTATTTTATAATATATTGACTATTTTGAAAAAATCAATTTTAATAAAGAAGTCATGTTTGCCACTTTTACAAATGAACTTCTATAACCACAAGCACACCAGGAAGGATGACAGAAATAAGGAAAATTTGAGATACATTTTAAAAAATATTTATTTATTATTTATTTTTGGCTGTGCTGGGTCTTAGTTGTGGCATCCAGGATCTTCATTGCGGCATGTGGGTTTCTTAGTTGAGGCATGCAGACTCTTAGTTGTGGCTTGCATGTGGAATCTAGTTTCCCGACCATAGATCGAACCCAGGCCCCCTGCACTGGGAGTGCAGAGTCTTACCCACGGGACCACCAGGGAAGTCCCTGAGATACACTTTTTAAAAACCCAGGAAGAGGGCTTCCCTGGTGGCGCAGTGGTTGAGAGTCCGCCTGCCGATGCAGGGGACACGGGTTCGTGCCCCGGTCCGGGAAGATCCCACATGCCGCGGAGCGGCTGGGCCCGTAAGCCATGGCCGCTGAGCCTGCGCGTCCGGAGCCTGTGCTCCGCAACGGGAGAGGCCACAACAGTGAGAGGCCCGCGTACCGCAAAAAAAAAAAAAAAACCCAGGAAGATTTGAATGCAGCAGTAACAGCTGGCAGTAACTGTTGTTAACTAAAAGAAAAGAGAGCAGTAGATGTCTGCCTGCATTCTGAGTCTCCCTGCTTCCTTTTCCCTGGTTTAGAGTAACCTTCTCTGTCCTCCCTTAAAAATTTCTTCTTCCATCTCCTCATCTCTTCTTAATTGGGAAATCCCAGGCAGAGGAGGGGATGGGCCAGCAGTCAGAGGACACAGGACTCCCCCGCCTCTCACATCCAGCTGTGCACATTTTCTTTGACTAGCTGAGAGGGATAAAAGCCAAGAAGGGAAAGAGAGGAAATTCCACTTGGAGAGTCCTAAATGTACACTATTTCTTGGAATGTCTTTCTTCACTTTATTTCCTCAAGCCACGTGTGTGTGTGTGTGTGTGTGTGTGTGTGTGTGTGTGTGACAGAGAAAGAGAAGAAGGAGGAGGAGGAAGGGAGGGAGAGGGAATTTGAAGTTATTCAGTTGCCAGTTGGTTTGCACCTCTGCTGCCATCTCCACCCTGCTCTATTGGTGAGGGGGAGAGATATAAGGATAATGACAATTTAAATGGAAGACCTTTTAAAATACAGATTTATGCTTTATTCTAATTTGCAAATTATATATTCTGGGACCAGCAGTCATGTACCATAACTAATTTTCCAAAATTAAGAATGTTACCTGGATTGTGATACTCCAATGGAATAATCAATGTGGACTTCTTTGGAAAATGTGCTATAAAGCACCAAGGGAATTAGCATTTACTGAGGGCCTGTTATGTGCCTGGTACTTCTCATGTGTTAGCTCACAGAAATCTCACAGGAACCCTGCAACCTATTTACCCACATATTACAGACAAGTAAACTGAAGTTCAATGAGATAAAACATGTTCAGAAAAAAAAAAACAAAACATGCTCAGGGTCACAGAGCTAATTCATCTGATTTCAAATCTGTTCTCTTCTCAGTACCACAGTGTCTCTCTCTTACAAATTATCATTATTATTACGATGGGTGTGCTTCTGAGGTTGAAGGTGAATTCAATGGAATAACTATGTTTGTGGCAGGGCTTTACCAAAACAGGGTTGTTTTCAAGAATATATTTGTTCATTTGCTCAACAAACCTTACCGATGTGCCAATGATATGTCCTGAATTGACTCTTGATTCAGAAAATGTTGTCATAAAAATGAACTCTTAAGATAGTCTGAGAGAAATTCATTCTACCTGTGGAGGATAAAGGAAGGTTTCATGAGGGAGAGGGAACAAAATTTTGAATAGATTGTTTTCTGGTGGAGGAAGGGGAAATATAGATGTATGTGGTACATTTAGAAATGGCAAATATCAACACCCAATGAAAAATGGCAAAAGTTGTGGGAAAAGCAATGTGCAGGTCTCTGGCACTGAAACTCTGAGCAGATCCAACGGAACAGCAAAAATGAAACATGGAAATATGTCCTTGTAGTACTTGAAATGATCATAAAGTAGACTCATGAGTGCTGACATTCCTGACTTTCATTTCTTCCTCTCCAAGCCAAAAAGGGATAACAAGCCCACAGTTCTGGGATCTCCTGATCTGAGGAATTCCACATTCTTACAGGTAGCAGAGATGACCAAACTGTAGACATGCTTTCATGATAACTATGAGGTGCATTAGAAAGGAGCATCCCTACAATATTGTATCCTTGATCTTGTGCAAAGGTAAACTCAGACAAGTCTGAGTCATCATTCTTGCCAATCCTTAAAATCCACCTGGTTTTAGTAGTTCAGCCTAGCATAAAAAAAGAGTCCCAGAGCTAGAAATACAAATGATCAAAAAGCATACAAGAATATATTCAACCTCATTGTTTTAGGATCTACCTAAGTAAATGTGAAATCTATGGGGCTATAAGACATTTCTCAACGTTTCTCATACTTTTCATGTTTCTGTCCTTTTGCATTATTAGGCTTCGAGATAATTCACCTTTTCTATACCCCAGGTCTTATTCAGTCTTCAGTTGTCTCCATTCTGCTATTCAGCTCATCTGTTGAGTTTTTGTTTCAATTATCATATTTTTCATTACCGTCTTTGTTCATTGGTTCTGCTTCGTAATATTCTGTTCTTGTTTCATGGTTACAACCCACTCTTACCTCTTGCTCTATAAATTCAACTTCCACAGATGTTAGCTGAGTTAAGTGCTTCCATTTCATGGTTGTGATTATTCCTTTAATGGTTGGCGATGCTTGCTTTTCAGTTCCTCTGTGTCTTTGAGATCCCGCATTTGCCTGTCTGAGAATTCTGCTTCTGTTCAGCAGAGTCTGCACCAGTTATTGTTGGGAAAGAGTTGAATCTGATGCCTATTGGGATGTTACAGTAGCTTGTCTTCTGGAAATACCAGCTCCTTTCTGAGGGTAAAAAGTCACCCAGGGGGCTTCCCTGGTGGCGCAGTGGTTGGGAGTCCGCCTGCCGATGCAGGGGACGTGGGTTCGTGTGTGCCCCGGGAGAGGCCACAGCAGTGAGAGGCCCGTGTACCACCCAGTGTAGTGCCCTGCCTCTGGCCCAAGCTCTTACCCTCACTGTTCTAGTTAGGAGGGAACAGTTCTGCTGTCTTCCTCTTGCCTGGCCAGGGCTGATCTGGTTGACCATTCTGGATGCTTCCCCAATCATACTAATGATTGCTGGAGGGACACTCTCTATTCCTTACAGTCACTGCTATGTGTTCAGAGCAATCCTGAAGCCAATCCCACCTTTAGCAGAAGCACTTTCCTGCTTATGTATTTTCCTCTACTTAGCTAACCATATCTGTTTCTCTTAGGAATTTTTCAAAATTTCTGCTTGATGATGGCGTTTTCCTGATTTTTAGTCCTTCTATGAATGCATTTTTCTCTTAAATTTTTTTATTTTTGTGGCTGCTGTGGAATTTCTATAAAGAAGCGAGTTAAGGGCTACAATCTGTTCCTTATGGAGGAGACTTTTTTTTAAACTTTTTATTTTATATTGGAGTATAGGTGATTAACAATGTCATAATTAGTTTCAGGTATACAGCAAAGTGATTCAGTTATACATATATATGTATCTATTCTTTTTCAAATTCTTTTCCCATTTAGATTGTTACATAATATTGAGCAGAGTTCCCTGTGGTATACAGTAGGTCCTTGTTGGTTATCCATTTTAAATATAGCAGTGTGTACATGTCAATCCCAAACTCCCTAACTATCCCTCCCTCCCATCCTTCCCCCCTGGTAACCATAAGTTCATTCTCTAAGTCTCTGAGACTGTTTCTGTATTGTAAATAAGTTCATTTGTATGTGTTTTGTTTTTTTGTTTTATGGATTCCACATGTAAGCAATACCATACGATATTTGTCTTTCTCTGTCTGACTTACTTCACGGAGGAGACTTTTAAATCTAATGGTATGCATTGGGTGCTACTGAAACATAGGTAAATAAATAATTATTTCAAAAATTTGTATATATGTGTGAGGTCTTGTATATATTTATTTCTATTTATTTATTCTCCCAATAGCACCTAATGGCAAGGTATACTAAATATATGGTAATACAAACACACACACACACACACACACACGCACGCACGCACACACTTTGCCATTCAATTAAAAATTCTCTTCCTTTAGAACAGATTGCAGTGGCTTCTCTGGTGGTGCAGTGGTTAAGAATCTGCCTGCCAGTGCAGGGGACACAGGTTCAAGCCCTGGTCCAGGAAGATCCCACATGTCGCGGAGCAACTAAGCCCACGTGCCACAACTACTGAGCCTGTGCTCTAGAGACCGCGAGACACAACTACTGAGCCCACGTGCCACAACTACTGAAGCCTGTGTGCCTAGAGCCTGTGCTCCACAACAAGAGAAGCCACTGCAATGAGAAGCCCTCGCACCGCAGTGAAGAGTAGCCCCTGCTCGCCTCAACTAGAGAAAGCCCATATGCAGCAACGAAGACCCAACGCAGCCATAAATAAATAAATAAATTTATTTTTAAAAATAGATTGCAGTCCTTAGTTCTCTCAAATAAATGAATTTAATTGGACCAAGGAGTCATAGAAGTTCATGAACTAGAGGACTCCTGAAAAGAGTCATGAAGGTTGAAGTAATTATGGAAAGAAACATGCTGTAGACAGTTTCTTGGCCCTTAAGAGGTGCCCTCTAACTTCAGGATAAAAATTCAAACTCCTTAGGTTTGCAAAGAAGACTTGGCTTGTGCCTCCCTCTGGTCTCATTTCCGATCACTTCCCCATCTCCTACTATGCCCCGTTCCCCTGATAAACTGAAGAACTTGCTGTTCTCCAAAGGAATCAGCTGTTTTGGTTTCTGAACTTCCACATGTGTATTTTCCTCTGCTTAGAACATTTTGGCCCTGGCAAGATTATCACATCCAAATATTAACACTGTTTAAAGATAATTCTTTGTTTAAAGACTCCAACTGATAATGTGTTTATTGCGATTAGCTACCATGTTTCATCCCATTATATACAATATTATCTTCCTTTTCAAGGATGCCACAGCATGATTTATGTGTCAGCCTCCCCTTGATCCTAAGGCCATCAATATCTCTGAGCATTGGCCGTGCAGTGACAGGGTATTAGGTAAGTATAAAGGCTTTCAGAAAACACCATATTTCCCTTCTCTGGGAGAAAACATGTTGGCTTTATTAATGATGTGTGAACGGGAATCAACAGACTTGGGTCTTAATCCAGATTCTGATAAATATGACCTTGACAAGCCAAGACAGTTTACTGGGTTGGCCAAAAAGTGCTTTCAGTTTTTAAGTAAAAATAAAAGACACATTTTTCATTTTCACCAAGAACTTTACTGAACAATGTATTCTTCCTTCTGTTCCACTACCCTCTGCCATTTTTCAGGCAACTTCATAATTCCATCTTCCCAAAATTTTTATCTTTTTGAGCAAAGAACTGTTCCAGGTGCCTTTTACAGTCTTCCAGGGAATTAAAATTTTTTCCATTAAGAGAATTTTGTAAAGACTGAAATAAATGGAAATCTGAAGGTGCAATGTCTAGCGAATATGGCGGATGAATCAGAACTTCCTCACCAAGCTGTAACAGTTTTTGCTCCGTCATCAAGGAAACATGTAGTCTTGTGTTATCCTGATGGAAGATTATGTGTTTTCTGTTGACTAATTCTGGACTCTTTTCATCTAGTGCTGCTTTCAGTTGATCTAATTGGGAGCAGTACTTGTTGGAATTAATCGTTTGGTTTTCCAGAAGGAGCTCATAATAGAGGACTCCCTTCCAATACCACCATATACACAACATCACCTTCTTTGGATGAAGACCAACCTTTGGTGTGGTTGGTGGTGGTTCAGTTTGCTTGCCCCACAATCTCTTCCATTCCACATTATTATACAGTATCTACTTTTCATTGCCTGTCACAATTTGTTTTAAAAACAGAACGTTTTCATTATGTTTCAATAGAGAATCGCATGCGGAAATAGGGTCAAGAAGGTTTTCTTTGCTTAACTTATGTGGAACCCAAACATCAAAGCGATTAACATAACCAAGCTGCTGCAAATGATTTTCAATGCTTGATTTGGATATTTTGAGTATGTCAGCTATCTCCCTCATGGTATAAGGTTGATTGTTCTCAATGAATGTCTCGACTTGATCATTATCAACTTCAAATGGTCTCCCCAACTGCGGAGCATTGTCCAACAAGAAATCTCCAGCATGAAACTTCACAAACCATTTCTGACACATTCTATCAGTCACAGCACTTTCTCTGTATACTGCACAAATCTTTTTTTGCATTTCAGTTGTGTTTTTACCTTTCTTGAAATAATAAAGCATACTATGCCGGAAATGTTGCTTTTTTTCTTCCATCTTCAATATTAAAATGGCTATACAAAAATTCACCAATTTTGATTTTTTTAAAATGCATTTTGATATGACAGCTGTCACAATACAAACTAATAAAACTGTTTCAAATGAAATTAAAGACAACTAAGTGCTACTAGAGCCATCTTACAGGAAAAACCGAACGAACCTCTTGGTCAACGCAATAATTTCTCTGGGCCTCTGTTTCTACATTGAGGATACACTCTCCACAACAGGCTGTTAAAAAGGTGCTCCTCCACCTCTCTCCCAGGTTTCAAATTTGGTAACAGATCAAATAAATTAAAAAATTTTTTTCTGAAATTACTCAGTAACCAACATTATTATTTAAATACTCAAATAATAATACTAATGAAAAATGTTTCCCATCAGTCTTGGAATTCTTCCTTCTCATTCTTTACACTGTTGCACAGTATTCCAAGATATGGCCAAACCATCATTTATTTAATCATTCCTTTGTCGATTTACATCACAGTTCCTTCTAATTTGTCTTATTATACACTGTGTTAGAGGGAACATCCTAGTAAGAAGTTGTATAGTTTCTAATGTATCTGCTTTACTTACAGCAAAAAGTCTATGCTCTGAGCTTTGTTCCCACCATACATTGGCTAAGAAGCATTAAAACAAAGGTCTCCAGTGTATGCAGATAAAAGCCCCCTTGAGATGGAAGCTAGAGAATAGTGACAAAGCATTTTCACTTGAAATCTGACAACTGTAACCTGGAGCTAGATGAACATCAGCTGTGGGCGGTGGTCCCTTGGAAAAGTATGTCAGGGCTGACACGTAGGGTGCTGACTCTCTTGAGGTTTGGGCCAAGGCTGAGCACTAAAGGGGGCTCAGAGCGGGGAATAAATCCTTGAGAGAGCCCAGAGCCTCACAGAAAGGTGAACTACTCTATTTGCTGAGTCACTGGAACCATAAAGACAGGAGACAACAGAGAATCCCTCATCTTGCTCCTCACAATAGCACTGTGGGTCTTGTGAAAGAAACATGTGTAATTACTGGCCAGAGCAGGAAGAAATCTGGAAGCTTCTTGTCTCTTCTGTTAGTATGGAGGCTATTGAGGGAGGTCACTGATCACCCTAACCTGAAGAGTTGACACTAATGAGAGAGAAGCCCTGGACCCATGGAGGGCAGCACCATAGAACAAAATAGCAAAAGTAAAAATAAGACCAGTCTAACTGAAAGTGCCAAACAGGCCAAGGAAGACTGATGAACTGACTTCACAGGAACTCTAGGTACTGAACACTACTAAATGCCAGCATGATGCTAGGGGCTCTTATAGTCAACATCTCCTCTCCTACTCTCCTCACGAGTACTCTAAAAGGGATGTTATTACATACCCCTGTCGGACATACGAAAACATATGTCAAGCAAGATCCAAAGAGGTTCTTCCTTCCTCCCTCCTTCCTTCCCTCCCTTCCTTCCTTCTTTCCTTTCTTCCTTCCTTTCACAAATATTTGTTCAGAATCTGTGATGTACCAGGTACTATTCTTGGCACAGCATACAGAGGCAAACCAGGAAGATAAGGTCCCTGCTTTCATGGATCTATATCCTTGCAGATGACAAATAATAAAACGAACAAATGAGTTAAAATATAAACAAATACATAAATAAACAAGAAAAATATTAGACTGCAATAAGTGTATTTAAGAATATTAGGTTGTGATAGATCTAAAGTAGGGTGATACCAGGGAACTTTTGGGGGTGATGGAGATGCTCTACATCTTTTTAAAAATTTTTATTGGAGTATAGTTGATTTACAGTGTTGTGTTAATTTCAGGTGTACAGCAAAGTGAATCAGTTATACATATACATGTATCCACTCTTTGAGATCCCCTACATCTTGATTATGGTGGTTACACAATTGTATATGTTTGTCAGAATTCATAGAATGGTACACCTTATAAAGGGTGACTAGCCCTATGTAAATTAAATCTTGAAAAACTTGACCTTTAAAAAATAGGATACTAGGGCTTCCCTGGTAGCGCAGTGGTTAAGAATCTGCCTGCCAATGCGGGGGACACAGGTTCCAACCCTGGTCCGGGAAGATCCCACATGCTACGGAGCAACTAAGCCCATGAGCCACAACTACTGAGCCTGTACCCTAGAGGCTGCGAGCCACAACTACTGAAGCCTGCACGCCTACAGCCCAAGCTCCGCAACAAGAGAAGCCACCGCAATGCAAGCCTTCACACCACAATGAAGAGTAGCCCCTGCTCGCCACAACTAGAGAAAGCCACATGCAGCAACAAAGACTCAATGCAGCTAAAAAATAAATAAATAAATTTATTTAAAAAAATAGGATCCTACAATAAAAAGCTATAGGAGGCTGCTTTAGATTGGGCAACAAAGTCCTCACTGAGAGGGTCATAATTAAGTTGAGATTTGAATGTAAGGAAAAAGATGAAGGGAAAGGCGTGCCTTTTTGCAAAATCTCGATGGTGGGAATAACCTTGGCATGTTCAAGTTAGAGCAGGGCGGGTGAGGTTGGAAATGTGAACAAGAACCGGAACATGGGGGAGGTTAGAAACCAAGATCAGGAGACTGACGTTATTTTCGTGCCACAGGGGTACTTAAGTTTTTAAGCAGGGGAATTACAAGTTCTGATGTATGCTTTTGAAAGATCACTCAGGCTGCTATGCAGAGAATGACTTGTAGAAAGCAAATGTAGAAGGACACAGGAGGCTATTGTAATAGTCCAAGCAAGAGATTATGGTGTCACGGACTAAGGTGGAAGCATAGAGACAGAAAAAGGCAGATATAATACAATATAACTGTGTTATATGAGTTAAGGTAACAAGTAAATCCCAATCTCAGTGGTTTAACAGAGTAGAATTTTCTTTGGTCTTCCTGACTGGTGTGCTTCTTTCTATCTGGTACAGAGAGAATGGGGCTCCTTCTACCTTTTGACTGCACTCTCCTCCAGCGCCACGAAAGTCCTCCTCATTCAGTCATGAGATGGCACATGCATGACCACCTGTGGGAAATTGTTATGGGCCTGGTCTGAAACTGTTATACATCAAGTTAACCCACACTCTATTAACTAGAAACTAGCCACATTCTCCATGCACCTAACTGCAAAGGAGGCAGAGAAATGTAGTCTATGACTATGCCCAGGTAGAAAGGGAACCTGGTTGCGTAATCATCTAACAATCTCTGCCGCCATTTTGTTTTGGAGGTAGAGATCACAGGTTGTGGGAATGGATTGGGTGAAACTGATGAAAGGAAGAGAGGAATCAAGAAGGAAGCCTCAGCTGTACACCTGAATAACACAACATTGTAAATCAACTATACTCCAAAAAAAACTGAAAAAGAAGAAAAAAAGGAAGCCTCAGAATCTCTCACTAGTGATGCTTGGAAACAAGGGTCAAAGAAGATTTAGGATATATGCTTGATCCCTCGCCTTTCTGTGAGGGAGGATGAATGGAAGGAGACAAGAAGATTTTGCCCATAGTAAATGAGCAGAACATAAAGGCAGAAAGGGAGGAAGTTACCCTAAAGGGAAGCTGTCCCTGATGATATAAAGTATTTCTTTGAAGAAGGGTGTACTCACCTGTCTAATTATACCTAATACTTAGTGAGCAGAGCCACCAGTCTTGGTGGCAGCAAGCAGCAGCTAGTCTTGCCAGCATTATCAGTACTGAAGATGCTAAGACCAAAAATCTTCCTGGTAGATCCTCCCTTCACTGGGTTAGAGAATGTGCAAAGACAATGGGCATAGTATTACCTTTAACTACACCCCTTCCAAAAACTCCCAGGTAAGGAAACAAGCCTGGGGCTCCCCTGGTGGCGCAATGGTTAAGAATCCGCCTGGTCCGGGAAGATCCCACATGCCGCGGAGCAACTAAGCCCATGTGCCACAACTACTGAGCCTGCGCTCTAGAGCCCATGAGCCACAACTACTGAAACCGCACGCCTAGAGCCTGTGCTCCGCAACAAGAGAAGCCACCGCAATGAGAAGCCTGCACACTGCAACGAAGAGTAGCCCCCGCTCGCTGCAACTAGAGAAAGCCCGCGCGCAGCAATGAAGACCCAACTCAGCCAAAAATTAATTAATTTTAAAAAAAGAATAAGCCTACTTCATAACTTTTTAAATAGGAAATTGTGAACTCTTTGAGATCATCTCTTATTAATCTTTATATCTCCACATAGTACACAGTATAATGCTTAACATAACCTATGCCCTCTGTAAACATTTGTAAAAAATTGAATATTTATGGGCAGGCTAAGGTCAAGATTGATTATATACATAACAAGTTACCTGAAAGCAAGCACGTAGGCCATGTGACCTCAGTACAAATTTATGAACTATGGTTTGGCTTCAGTTTTGATACCATTATGACTAAACTCATTCTCCTTGGAAAGACTGTTTAATCCTTTCACCCATTTACCTGGTTAGATGCACGATACTCAATTTTCTGAGAATTTATATTCTTTTCTAGTCATGATTTTCTTGGTATTCTTTATCAGTTTCATTGCCATGTCAATTAAGTGAATGCCTTTAAATATATGTACATGAATCACAACTTTTTTCATTATACAAATGATACATATTTATTGAACAAAAATTTACAAAACGAAAAACAAAAAGAAGATAGAAAATAGCCATAACCCAACCATGCAGAGATATCTGGCATTTGCATGTATAGCTTTCTGGACTTTTCATTTCATATATATTTACACATATCCCTCCTTTATCAAGATAGGATCACTCTGAACTTAATATTTCTGGATCTACTTTTTTTTAAATTTATTTATTTTATTTTATTTATTGTTGGCTGTGTTGGGTCTTCATTGCTGTGTGCGGGTTTTCTCTAGTTGTGATGAGCGGGGGCTACTCTTTGTTGCAGTGTGCAGGTCTCTCATTGCAGTGGCTTCTCTTGCTGTGGAGCACGGGCTCTAGGTGTGTGGGCTTCAGTAGTTGTGGCTCACAAGCTCTAGAGCACAGGCTCAGTAGTTGTGGCGCATGGGCTTATTTGCTCCTCAGCATGTGGGATCTTCTGGGACCAGGGCTCGAACCTGTGTCCCCTATATTGGCAGGTGGATTTTAACCACCACGCCACCAGGGAAGCCCTCTGGACCTACTTTAAAAAAATATTTAAAAAGCAAATTCTAAGTGAGCATATTTTAAATTTGTTTTCAAATATGTATTCTTTGTTCCAGCTTCATAGATCATGGCAATTTTTCCTGAAAGCAGATATAGGTAAGACTTATTCTGTGAACCTCAATAACACAAATGAGTCAAAGTTTAACTAAAAGGATTTCAGGTCAACATAAGTAAGGGCAGCATAGCAGGGATTCACAACACAGGTAGAATTCAAACCAGTTGGTCTCTAATTCCCCAGCAATGAGTTCTGTGATTCTCTAACTAGAATAAGGGAAGAGAAGAGGTAGGGAGGAGGAGGCAAGAGTTTTCAAGATTTATCAGAGGTATAGGGAATTGTTTGATTGGAATGAATGCATAAATAAATTTGGAAGGCAGATCATAGGCAAACTGGGGAGTTGTGTGTTATAAGGAGGTGGGGTGGGGAGACGAAGGATATTAAGTACATTAATCATTATGTCCTTCTCTTTGCTCTTCTCTTTCTCCTTCTCTTCCTGGCTTCAGCTTTTGCAACTGAATGTCCCTAGACTCCCAGACTTCTGAAGTCATCCTTTGCTTTAAGTACCCATACACACTCACTTCTTCCTATAAATCAGGACAGATTAAGTTATGCTAACAGTAATGAACAACTCCCAAATCTCAGTGACTTAAAACAATAAAGGTTTATATTTCATTCATGCTGCATAACATCAGCTCAATCAGGGATCCAAGTGATAGAGCAGCCACCATCTCAAATAGTTCCCTCCATACAGGAGGGAAAGAGAGTTCTGGAAAATCAGCAATCAAATGCTCATCTCTGAGATAACATATCTAATTTCTGCTTACATCTCATTGGCCAGAATTAGTCACATGATCACACCAAACCACAGAGGGTCACAGGGTACAATGCTACCAAAGTGCTGCTGGAAGGTGGAGAACCAGAAATACTTGGTGGGTATTACTAATGAATGTCACACCATATACCTACGGGAAATCCAATGTCAGTTTCAGATCTCTTTCTGACTTCTGTTTTCCCATAAACTTGAAAGCCCATTGTTCTGTTCAGTGTCATATTCACTTTCTAAAAACTTCTTGATATAAAATAATTAAATGTTTCACTTTTCCATATATTTCCCATTGTTCTACATAGGCTCTATCCAGCCTACTGGCCCTGTAAAAGTTTGGAGCATTCCACGTGAAGATTAAGTATTTATTGAATGAATGAGTGGAATGCCACACATTTCTTAAACCTTGCTCTATGCCATGCATTAGAATTTCTCTCCAATTGTTTTAAATCGTGCACTAGGGAAGTGAGCTTTATTTCCTTTTATACCTTTATTCATACCATAGTGAGCTTTTATTACCTTTATTCATACCACAGTCCATATGGAGCTCTTGGGGTGGGTAGGGTATTCCTGTATTGTAATTTAATGGCCTTACTGGCAGTGTTCTTAAAGATGTTCTCTATTGACATATTTCGTAAGTCACTGAGCTCCACACTTTTCTTACCTTCTCCTCTCTTTCCTTCACTTTCCAAGATCACAAAATATATGATATAATCAATAAATGATATAATTTATGTTTTAGTTTTCATACTGTATGCCAAAGAATTGCATTTTCTCACAATGTCTTGCTGGGAAACTGAAATCCGGTCTTTTTTTTTTTTTTTTTTTTGCGGTACACGGGCCTCTCACTGTTGTGGCCTCTCCCGTTGCGGAGCACAGGCTCTGGACGCGCAGGCTCAGCGGCCATGGCTCACGGGCCCAGCCGCTCCGCGGCATGTGGGATCTTCCTGGACCGGGGCACGAACCTGTGTCCCCTGCATCGGCAGGCGGACTCTCAACCACTGCACCACCAGGGAAGCCTGAAATCCAGTCTTTTTAAAGTACAATCAGACGTGAGATCTCTTAGAACGTGTCTCTCTTTCCTCTCTTCCTTTTTCTCCCCCTCGGTCCACATCCACCTGACACTTCTCCATACCTTTTCCCGGTCAGCTGAGGCTGAGCATGTTGAAAGGATTTTAAATGTCTTCTTTCTCTGACAGATATTTGAAACTCCACCCTAGAGTCTCTTTTTTTCACTTTAAATTTGTGGAATAGTGACATCACTAAACCACTGTGCCAGCTTAGGAGGTCTTAAAGCTTGTTCAGTGCAGTCGTAGCCCAAATCAAGTGTAGAGTTGTCCCTACCTTGTCTTTAGGTGTCTAGTAGCTGCTTAGACTTATGGGCATTGGAACACTGTGGGGAAGCAGCTGAAAGGGGAGGTACTTCTGCATAAAAGCAGTCCTGCTGGGTTTTCAGCCAGTGACTGCTGGGTGCAAGCAAGAGATTGGGGGCAGGGGGTGTTGGTGGTGACATCTATCCCTGAAGGCAGAGCATTGGACTGGCCAAGTCTTCTGAGCCCTTGAAAGGAATTTTCATCAGTGTATCTTCTCTCAGCTCCTCAGACACATCCTGGGTAGTTTGTACTGGGGGATGGGCAGGGAGTGCTTATTATCTTGGGCAACTTCCAAGGTAAGCTCACAAACAAACTCCCTCTGCTCTCCTCTCTCCATCTCCCTCTGGTTCTCCTCTGAATTCCCACCCACACCCCCTGCATCTTTTCCATACAAAACCCTCATTCTCCTCTTTTCTTCCACAGTAGAACTGAACACCCCCTCAAAACCAGAGCCCACACGATTAGGCACTGTTTTCTCTTTGCTGAATGATAGGTTTCCAAACATTGTACAGAGGTGGGGGGGATTGCATGGGGAAATGGGAGGGGGAGAAAGAAATCCTCCACCCTAGATTGGGTTAATCCATCAAAGTAATCATTAAATGTTATGTTAAAACAAGTTGAACATTTACACCCTGTTATACTTGGAGCTTTGTTAAAATGCAGATGAACAAAGAAGGGTATCTCTCGTTCGTTATTTGACCTAAGTAAAGATTAATTTCCAAGCCTTTTCTGAGAGTAATTTTTGATAAATGAGACCTAGAGGGAACTGAGTCCTTTAGAGAGATGCAGAAAGCACATGGGCAGAGAATATGACCAGGAAAAGAATGGGGAAGGCTGTGACGGTTCTGCTGTAGGCTTGCACAAATAAAGTTATATTTACTTCCTAAACCACGAACTTAAAATACTCATATAGGGCCTCCCTCGTGGCGCAGTGGTTAAGAATCTGCCTGCCACTGCAGGGGACACGGGTTCTAGCCCTGGTCCGGGAAGATCCCACTTGCCGCAGAGCAACTAAGTCCGTGCGCCACGACTACTGAGCCTGCGCTCTAGAGCCCGTGAGCCACAGCTATGAGCCCGTGAGCCACAACTACTGAAGCCTGCGCACCTAGAGCCCGTGCTCCACAACAAGAGAAGCCACTGCAATGAGAAGCCCGTGTACCGCAAGGAAGAGTAGCCTCTGCTCGCTGCAGTTAGAGAAAGCCCGCACGCAGCAACGAAGACCCAACGTAGCCAAAAATAAATAAGTAAATTAATTAATTAAAACAAATACTCATATAATTCCACTTTCCAGAGAAATATCATGGTTTGTTCCTTCCAACTCTCTATTTATCCTATTCCCGTTGACCACGCCTATCTTCTTCATAGTCACGCCTACCTGGCCTAGACTAGATCCTCTTTTGCACCAAACTTAAACCCTCTAATTCTGTCAGTGAACTGGGATATAATCCCCTCATCTCTCATCTGCTGTGGGTCCAAAATAGTTTTGAACCCTAACAGCTTTATGTGCATCTCAGTGAGTATCCAGTAAATTCTGCACGCTCAGCCTACCCCCGACAACTGCTCTTTCCAGGAGAGATAAGATCAGTCTAAGCCTTTGATGTGCAACACAAAGATGCCTAAGGGATTCAAGGCTAACTTTAGATCAGAGCAAATCCAGATTCCAATATCAATGGCGTAACTAAGAAAGCATGAGAGAAATGAATATAATGGGAGCAAATGGGAAGCAGTTCGGTAGCACGAGTAGAGACTGCTAAGTAGTGAAGAATGACAAACGAGAAAGAGAAGCCAAAGCTGCCAAAAAAAAATGGCTGTCAATCACAGGAAACGCCACTACCATCAGAGCAGTGGGGTATTACCAGACAGGTTCCCCAAGGACCTTGAACAAAAGGAGAGGAAAATTTGGGGTATTTCAAGGCATGGTGACTTTTCTATGATAACTGTTACCTATGATTTCAATCATCTTCAAAGTTAGAGTGGTTCGGGGAACCTAAGGCCATATTTTAATTAACTCTAAGACTATCTACCCACCCACCTTCTTCCCAAAAAATCAAGGATTTGTGGCCTGGAAAAATTTGTATTATAAGATAGCCCCAAAACGCTGGAATGTCCTAAGTCTCTGAAACTGAACTACTTTTCTGGAAGCTGATGTATTTACCTACTGACCACAATAAACCAAGGACTGCAACAGACCCCACCCAGGACAAAAGCAGAGGAGAGGGTAAAGAAATGCTACATCACTGGAGACAGTTTAGAGTTTGCCAGCTGTGCACATTTTTTGTTTCAAACTTTCTATACAAGCTTGGCAATGTTTAAGGAAAACTAAAGTAACATCACCAGGGTCAAGTTCAAGTGTTTAACCCCAAATCCCATACCGCATAATTGCCTTACTGCAAATAAGATATTCAGGGTTTCTCTTAAAATCCCTACTGGTGTCTTTCTTTTGTTGTTTTGAAACCACTGCTGAATCTGCACCAAGTTAAACAAACTTCCTAAGAGAAAAGTGTCCATGACAGATAGAATAAATGATCCCCTTTCAAAGTAAGTGAATTTTAAAATGTAGATGATCATTCTATATCCTTAGTTTTGGCTGCCAATGCAAATGAGTCAGAGAATTTGCCTCAGACAGTGAGTTAATTGTGTAACTCTACAGAGGAAAATGCCATTGGAGAGTACTTGCTGACCTCACAGCTGAAAAAAAAAAAAAAAAAAAAGAAAAACCATTTAAAGATGTGGAAACCAGATGTTTCAGACACATTTCAGCCTCTGCTCTGGGAATTTATCCCGAGCAGCCCCTAACAGGCTATTCCTTCTCTACAACTGAGATATGATCATCTTAATTTACTTATTTGTCTTGCTGTGGGAAGAGGCTCACGGATGGGGATTCAGAAATGGAATTTTTCATAACTCCATATGGCTTGGTAAGAAACTTCACTCATGAGCTTCTTTTTGGGAAAGTCGCTTCTTTGAATTCATGGAGAAGTGAATCAAAGCTGTAAATTTTTCTCTTCTGTTCAAGGCTGATGTTTTCAAAGAAAATGCTTGGGAAAGATAGATACTGGAATGCATATATCATTTTTTAAAAAGTGTTTCTGCCTTCTAAAATTTTAAAATAGCTTTTTATAAAGTGAAATTTTCAGTAGAAAATAGAGGTTAATATTTATATTCCATATGAAAATATGCTTTAAAATTTTCAAAGAAGGTGTGGTGGTATAGCGCAGAATGTTTCCTTAACAAAATAAAACCACCAATATATTATTTTGTTTTCATTTCAATGCATTTCTAGTCAGATTTCATAACAGGTAACCATAAGAGAATTACAACAGGTAAATTGGAATACACAATAATTTTATAATCATTGCTCCATGTACTCTGACCTGTAGTGTATATCATGCTTTTTCCAAACATCTTTTGACTAGTTTGACAAAGCCAGCTTGTAATACAGAAAAAAATGAAAAAAGCTTGTATTTCTGGATGCATTCTTACCACTTGATTTCTTTTGTTTGAGCTGTCCATTTAAATACCTTTCTACCTCTTTTGTTAGACAAGGAAAGTTTCTTTTGTTGTTTTGTTTTGTTAAATGTAAGGAATGACATAGACCTGTGAATATAAACAACAGACCAAAAAAGGCTAAATAGAGAAAACCCAAAATACCCCATATAGTACTCTAAACAATGCTTTAATTCTCATGATACAAATTAATACTGCTTTATGTTCACTGTTGTGTTTGATAGTGAAAAAAATATGAATTGCTCAAGAAGAAAACTGACAAATCCTTGTATAAAATAAATAAAGAGAAAGCAAAATTAACCTAGATCTTGATGTTATGCTTGCTAAGCAGCACATAGTTATAGAATATTTTCCCTTTCAGCATGTTTCTCTCTGGTAATAACTGCAGCCATGCGGATTTCATTAGAAAGCTCGATTGCAATGCACAGCCTTGCAGCCTCTTTTTTCAGTTTGAGCCAGTGAACAGCTTTCATGCTGAACAGTGCAATCCATTTGGCCAAGATGGGGTCTGGAATTTACTAGAGGAATGAGCAAGTCTCTTTATTTTCATTGCACACTATCAAACTTGGGAAATATACACCTATTTGTCAGAAATGACAAAGATGATCATAAAGCTAGTAAGAGTTAAACCCACATGGATACACTTTGAAATGCTGTCAAATTTGCTAATGATCAAGTAATTTGGAGTTGTTGTTGTTTTTTTTTAAAGTGATGTTGTATATCACCAAAATATAAACCTAGACAATAGGAGTTCTGTCCTAGAGATAGAGAGGAGCAAACCCAAATGTTTGTTAATAGTATGCTGCACATTTGAGGCCCGGAGTGATTGCACAGTGCTTCATGCTTCAATGTGAGACAAATTATTGATCAGTCAGCCTAGCATAAATTGTTTACAGTTGGTTAGGCCAATGTAGTATTAGAAAACTATTTAGGGAGGGAAGAGAGTTGAATTAGAAGGCAGGAATCTCCTAGCAACTATCAAGAACAAGGCACTTTAAACTCTTGGTCTCAGTCCCATACTGGTAAAATGAGAAGTCTGAAGTAGGGGACCCCTAAGGTTTATTTTTAACTCTTATATCCTCTAATTCCTTAGATAGTAATTTTTTAAAAAGACACTTAAGGACAAGAGACTTCAACTAGCTTAAACGGATTATGAAAATCAAAAAATGTACAGATAAGCAATTCTTTCTAGCCATTGTATTGAATCCAAAAAAGGAGAAGGGAAAAGTAACATTATCATGAGCTCCTACTAGGATACAGAAGCTATGCTTATGGGTTTTATGGTTTATATATTCCAAAAAATAGCTGTCATTATTCTTATTGGATAGATGAAGAAACTGAAGCTCAGGCAGTGATTTATACAAGGTCACACAACTGGTCCACTGTAGAACCAGAAATAGAAATCAGAGCCAACATAGTATTGTGTCACCACTTACTAAAAGGAAAAGGAAGTTACTGGTTAAATAGATTTTCAATTTCAGTGAATGACAGCTAGAAAAATTAATAAATTATTACTTCCTCTGAAAGGTGAAATTTTTTAGATTAGGACTCATTGTACAAAGGACCATCTTAGTAGTTTAAAATTCTGAATTGAGAAATACTTTAAAATAAATGTGTGCTTAAAACTGTCAAGTACACATGCCAAGGGTACTCATAAGGCAAAATAATGGGAAGTTTGGGTCTCTTTCAGGAACAGTGTGGAATATTAAAATTATTTAATAAACTAAAAATTATAGCATAGACATTTCTGCTATTTAAGTTACTATCTTATTACTAGACAAGTTTAAGAGGTACCAAAAGTTTAAGAAAAACTACCAGGAAGAAAACTTAAAATTATTTAAAAAATTTTTTCTGTTAATTTATTTTTTTCCTGCAAACATCTGTTAAAAGAAAAACTGAAGCATACTTAAAATTTTGAGTTTATCTGAGCAAAAATACATTTGAATTTGGCAGCATCCAATCTAACAGATAGAAAGGAGCTCCGAGGAGTGGTACAAAATGCAAGACTTTCATAGGCAGAAGGGAGCAGGCAGAAGGAAGTTTTACTAGGTGAAAAAGCAGGTTGGTTATGGCAAGGTTACTTTCCTTCAGCGGATGGCAGGGGTCTATCAGGCAGATGACCTAACTGGTGGTGATCAGATTTCTGACTGACTGGTTTAAGATTCCATTTCTGGGTGAGCCGAAACCATACTTAAGTCTTGATTTGGTGATGTGGGGCTTAGCATAAGGGACTCCATTTGGAGCTTGCTGTCGTGTTTTTAGTACAACATATTTTTACTTCTGGAGTAAAATATCACGGAAATCTTAGTTTGAGAAACCTTGGCAGACAAAATAATTCTTACAAAATTTTTTCAAATAAAGATCTTTTAGAGAATAGATACAGGGCTTCCCTGGTGGCGCAGTGGTTGAGAGTCTGCCTGCCGATGCAGGGGACACAGGTTCTTGCCCCAGTCTGGGAAGATCCCACATGCCGCGGAGCGGCTGGGCCCGTGAGCCATGGCCGCTGAGCCTGCGCGTCCGGAGCCTGTGCTCCACAACGGGAGAGGCCACAACAGTGAGAGGCCCGTGTACCACAAAAAAAATAAAATAAAATAAAATAGAGAACATATACAGTTTTAACATTTTTAAAAAGTAACAATAATCTCCATCACAATACATTAGTAAGCACTACATATCTCCTTCTCTACTAAAAGCCTTAGTACCCCTGTACTTCAAAATAGATGTACTTGCATTGCCCACTAGTGCTCAGGTTGCTTGAGAATAAGGCTTGATCCCCAGCCCCTATCAAAGTACCTCATGGTATGTTCTTAAAACAGCTAAATTGGAAACGAGTAAAAGCTTAGTTAATGAGGCTTTACCCTATGTGTAAAGTGTCCTATGAAGGACACTTGGGAAGTAGGTGACTCTCAAAGGGGAAAATGACTTTGATGTTCCTTGTGTTCTCTGACCTCTAAGTATCAGATGCACTAAGGTACTGTGTATTAATGACAGGCTTTTTCCATATAAGGTATAAGAGCAGTATCCCTTGGAGTCCAGAAAAATGCCAAGCAGCATCTCCTATTGAACTGTGGCATTGTCAACTTCAGCTTGGGGAAGAGAGTAAAGAACAGTATTTCTAATACTGCTGGATTCATATCTTGCTGCATGCCAAGAAACATACGTTCTCGTTGGAAATGGTCTTGATGGTGGCTGATTGCACAGGTCAGGGGACAGAGACTTAACAATAATCTGATAGTCAACATAGAACTGTTAGCGCTATGTTATGATTATTGTCTTGGGAATCTTTTCACATTGTTTCTATGGCAAAATGCACTCCAAACTCAAAACAATCATTTTAAACAGTGATCTATTGGGAGACAGCTCATGTATGACTTAACAGTATCTGAACTACGTTGGGAACAAATGTGAACCGAAAAAGACAAACCAGATAAAGAACTTAGGAACTGGTAGGTAGGTGTGTCCCACTTTTTCTCTGCTGTAGTTAAATCTATTTTTCTTTTCTTCAATGTCATATTTACTTGCCTTGGATTCCTTTAAACTTTTCCTCAGTTTTTGATTTGTTTACTAAATTCTCGATTATATTGCATTAGTCATTTCCCTCAAATGGATATTTTGGCTTACTTTTCTCCTTCATTGTAAGCCAATTTTCATTGGTTTCTTTTGCCTTCAACTCCTTTTCTTTTCCTATTGCTTACCTTTCCAAGTTTTTAAAATAAAGTCAAAAAAAAAAAAAAAAAGTCAGGGCTTCCCTGGTGGCGCAGTGGTTGAGAGTCCAGCTGCCGATGCAGGGGATGCGGGTTCGAGCCCCGGTCCGGGAAGATCCCACATGCCGCAGAGCGGCTGCGCCCGTGAGCCATGGCCGCTGAGCCTGCGCGTCCGGAGCCTGTGCTCCGCAACGGAGAGGCCACAGCAGTGAGAGGCCCGTGTACCGCAAAAAAAAAAAAAAAAAAAAAAAAAGTCAAAACTTTATCACCTTTGGATAATGCAGAAATACAATGTTGTGTTAAAACTTTCTTTCAGGTTATCAGTTCAAAAAATAATTTAGCCTCAAGTTTCTATCTATGTCCCCCAAAATTCCCCTCATTCATATTTTTTTCCCAAAGCTTTCTAACAATGAAAACTTAGCCACTCAAGGCAGCTGACCCAGGGAACCCTTTGGCAGGAACAATAGCTGATGTAATCTTCCAGCTGAGGCCACAAAATTTTCCTTGTTCCACAAGAATGGATAATAGTGCATTGACGACATTTTGTGAATTCACAGAACAAGCAGCAGGCGTGTACCACAGAGAAGCGCGGTCTGGCAAGTACAAGCTCACCTACGCAGAAGCGAAGGCGGTGTGTGAATATGAAGGTGGCCATCTTGCCACCTACAAGCAGTTAGAGGCAGCCAGAAAAATTGGTAACAGCTTTGACAATAATCTTCTTCTTTTTCACCCTTGGAAAAAAAATTTTCCACCTTCCCTGCAACCCCTTATTAAGACTTTTCTCTCTACCCCTGCTAATAGTTCCTCTGGCTTCTCCCATCTTCTTTGCCTAGAGCTGGTAGACAATTCCTACTACTAGTAACTTAGTTGGGGTCACACCCCATTGGGAGCTAATAAATAAACATCAAAAGAAAATGAAGACATCATTATCTCGATATCATTTAAACCCCTCATTAATTTTAATGCCATTGCTATTCATTTTTAATATCATTCTATCTCTTCTTGACGTCTGTGTGTCATTTTCCTCAGCTGTTAAATGATGCTACTATGTTGTGTCTTACAAGGAAATTTACTTGGTAGAAGAAATAGTGAATTTAGTGGATATTTTTTCAATTATTTTCAATTTTTTCCTTTTCTTTTTTTTACATTAAGTGGGAGAATGCATTTGTACTTTAGGATCAAAAGCTATGAGGAGAAGGAGGATAAGCAAGTTGTAAGGTGCCAGATGAAAGAAACTGGGAAGATGATGTCAGGACACCTGGTGAAAACCGAGTAATTAACAAATGCTGTTTGCTTCTTTATATTAAAAAAAACGGGTTGCTACTGTCTCTCCTGGACTTTCAGGAGAATCCAAAAGGCCACCCTAATTCAGAATTTTCTTCTCCACTGAAGATATCCCTTTGCTGATAGGAACATACCTGGCAAAGCTCATACTATTATTATACATTACCCAAGACAAAAATAAAGGTGTTCTCGAAAATGCCCCAAAGTCTCCCCAGATGACTGCTCAGTCTATACCCTTAGGGCTGTGTGTGTGACGCAGTAAATGGAATGAGGTATACAAAGGCCAGAGACATTACTAGCCATGGGGGACTTGTAGTCAAATCGTTCTTGGGTGTCATCGGCAAATATTAAAACAGCCTCCAAAGTTGAGTAAGGAAAACAAGGCTGAGGCTTTGTTTGAAATGTATGAGTACTTTTATCCCTATTCAAATTTTTAAAATATTGGTGATATCTTTTTTTTTTTTTTTTTTTTGCGGTACGCAGGCCTCTCACTGTTGTGGCCTCTCCCATTGTGGAGCACAGGCTCCGGACGCACAGGCTCAGCAGCCATGGCTCATGGGCCCAGCCGCTCCGCGGTATGTGGGATCTTCCCGGACCGGGGCACGAACCTGTGTGCCCTGCATCGGCAGGCGGACTCTCAACCACTGCGCCACCTGGGAAGCCCTAGTGATATCTTAATTGGTCCTGAAGGAGAAATTATCATCTGAAAAAATTTTTTTCAGTATTGATGGTAATTCCAGAAATTAACTCATGGCACTAGCTCAGTCATTTGTGAAAAGAAGCCAGCTCTGAAATTGGATTGTTTTCATATCCATGGTATTATTATTTCCTAGTCCATCTGCTTCTTTTTTTTTTTTTTTTCCAAGTAAGATGTCATTTCCTAGTAAAAGTCAGATGTTACAAGAACTTTTATATACATTCAAACTTTATTTTTTAAGAAAACAGTTCTTCCCCTTTTATATGAAGTGGATTTGGGCAGTTAAGACACTGTCCCTGTTGCAAGGGGCCATCTTGGTTGAGATGACCTTCGCTCAGCTGAGGGAATAACCAGTTAAGCCATTACCCTTCCATTCTCTTGCAGGATTTCACATCTGTGCTGCTGGGTGGATGGCCAAGGGCAGAGTTGGATACCCCATTGTGAAGCCAGGGCCCAACTGTGGATTTGGAAAAACTGGTATTATTGATTATGGAGTCCGTCTGAACAGAAGTGAAAGATGGGATGCTTATTGCTACAACCCACATGGTTTGTCAAAAACAATAATTTTATACTATATAAAAACAGGTACAGGTTACTAAGAGCTTAGTAAAAAGAAATGACTACTTCTTCCAGAGAGAGAGCAATTTAGTAACGATAATTATTAATAACAACTACCATTCATAGAATGATTATGCTGTGCCACACACTGACTTATGTCTCTTCATCCACACTGTCACTTTATTGTTATACCCATTTTAGAATTCAGGAAACTAAAGTTCAAGAGCTTAAGTAACTTTCAGACAGCCAGTAATTAGTAGGCAGGTGAGATCACGACTTAATTCTTTTCTGTGCCAGGGAACTTCCTGATTACAGAGGACAAAAAAAAAAAAAAAAAAGATTATAAACTTGTCACAGTTAATTAGCTAAAACCAAGAAGTAGTACTACCAAATGTTAACTGTTCAAAATTATCCCTTTAATAGAATGAGAAAAAGGAGACAGAATAAACAAAGTTTTCCCCTAATTTCTTTTTGGGCATAAATTTTTAAACTTCCAAACTAAGCAACCCTCACTCTGTGGTTTGTTTTAACAAATATATACTGGATATGCTAGTTATTATTGTAAGTACCTGTTTATTCATATTCTTTTTCCATGGTTGATTGCAGCTAGGAAAACTTTAAAGAGAAAATTAACACATTATAATTACTATAAACAGTAATTCTTGGTCCATGCTGTTGGAGAAAAAAGTAGACTGTTGTTTTGGGATGTATTTCCCCCAGGATAATATTACAAAGTGTTACAACATGTTACAAAGTATTTCCCATATATATGATCATAAACATCCTCAGGTGGTGTCCCATTTGGATCTACCTTAGAGAATGTCCATGACAAAGTAGGAGATTACAGTGAAGTTCTAGCATATTATTATAGAATTTATTATTTAATAATATTAACCATTGGAGAACAGTTTCTCACATTTGCAACTAACCTCTACCTCACAATAATGTATACTCCAAGTAGAAAAGAATTTTTCCTAGAGCTGTCACCTATTCCCACTTGAGACAAAATATGAATAAATGGGGGTGGGGTGGGATGAACTGGGAGATTGGGATTGACATATATACACTAATATGCATAAAATAGATAACTAATAAGAACCTGCTGTATAAAAAGTAAATAAAATTCAAAAAATATGAATAACGCGCATTCATATAGACTATAACTTTCAAATCACTTTGACATACTTTAAGCCTATAGTATACTATATTTAGTTCTATATTTAGTCATTGTTAATAATTCATATATCTTCTTTTCCTCTTTCTCTCTTCCTTTTTCTTAAATATATTTATACAGGCAACTCTCTTTTTACTCTTAAGAGTAACTTCTATTTCCAAATATATTATCTGATTCTTCTGCTTGATAAACTCCAGGATCTCTGAGCATCTACTCAATCATTTCCAAAGGTCAAAGTCTAAGGAAGATGTAGAAGTATAAATGGAAAGATTCTTACAGTATTTCATTGCCCTTTTATAAGAATGCCACCTTAACTTACAAATTTTTATAAGCTGCTTTTGTTTCTCATAGAGGCTGAATGCTTTTTACTCTGGGAATGTGTGTACAGAATCCTGGGAGACTTGTGCTTACTCAAGTCTCAGCTTACTTTTGGATTCAGTGATATACTGATTATTTAGGATGTGGTCAACCTGAAGGGGACTGGGGGCCACCTGAACTAGCAATGGGAGAACAGTTCATTGAAAAATAATTGGAATGAAAAAAATCATTATGGTATCAGAAAAATAAAGCAATGATTATTAATTAATCAATACCACCAAGTTAGAGTTGATTGAAGCAAGGAAGAATAGGGTCATTCAGAAGTGTTCAGAAGTCAGCTTGCTCATTTGAGTTCTGAATGTGTGGCATGATGCTGACTGCCTCCTGTATGAATACTTCTTAACCAATTAGCTGTCAGTCCTCAGGGACCCAGGCTGCTTTATAAATCTGTCATTTTCTAAGTAAGCAAGAGATGAGGCAATAATTATATGTAACATGAAGTACAGAGCTGAATAGATATAGCTAAATATAAAAACAAGTTAGGTCAATATTTGAATATTTTTCCTAATCTAATGATATATACATCAAAGATAGGATGCTATGGGACAGAGAAAATCACTCCCAAAGCGGGCACTGTATATGCTTATGTGCACATATAAACTATGTATTATATAATATTTAATAATACAATAAGAATAGCTTATACTTTGCATAATACCCTTAAGCTATCCTTTATATTTTGTCCTCAGAATAGTCCTGTGAGGGAGGTAACAGGAGAGACATGACTATATTTATTTTACCAATGAAGAAACTGAGGTATAGACTGGACGCAGAGCTCAGACTAGATCCCTGACCCTCTTTTGTCACTTCCTTGCCTTTCTAAGAGCCTATTCTGCCCTGGGGTGATAAGCTTCCTTTACTTCTATGGTGTGAAGGATTCTAACACAATTTTTTATTGTAATAGTTATTTTCAAGGAGAATATTCTTGTAAAAAACTTCTAATTGGGGAATTCTCTGGCGGTTCAGTGGTTAGGACTCGGCACTTTCACTGCCGAGGGCACAGGTTGGATCCCTGGTCGGGGAACTAAGATCCTGCGGGCTGCGTGGCACAGCCAAAACAAAAAACAAAAAACAAAAACCCTCTAATTGATATAATAAAAAATACCTTTGAATGCTATCCAGAGTCACCACTACCATCACCACCACTCAGATTATTTTTGAGTTTCCAGTTTGTATCTTTTTTTCAAGACACTAGACATTTAGGTGATATGGAATTAAAATTAACTGGGGCCCTTCCACAGCTTTCTCTCTAGGCATACTGTAAAATCACTGTTCTGGCAGAGATTGTTTGTTCTTATAACAGGTTATGGGACAGGACAGAAATCTATGAAATGGTAAATGACTTGAAAAAACCAACATGGATATCTCCACCAAATCCTCAAATAGTATTAGGATTAAGGTGCTAATGTAAACCAGTAAAAGGAGTATAGAATGATTATAAATTATTCCTTTTAACTGGATTAGAGTGACCTTCAAATTCCCTAAGTGATCTTCATATTCTATAATGATTTTACAAACAGAATTTATTGGACTCATTATTCTAAGTGTCTGAGTCCCTGAAGACACAGTAGTGACACCACAGAACAAAATCCGTGTCATCTTGATTGGGCTGTTGGTAATATGGGCATATGTATTTGTCAAAACACATTTAAGTGTACATATAAGACATGCATCCCATGCTTAAAACGTAAACAGAGCAAAAATGTCAACAGGAGCACAATTATTATTCCTTCTTGCTGTTTTACTTTTTAAAAAACTCACAAGTGGGGACTTCCCTGGTGGCGCAGTGGTTAAGAATCTCCCTGCCAATGCAAGGGACACAGGTTCGAGCCCTGGTCCTCGAAGATCCCACATGCCACGAAGCAATTAAGCCCATGTGCCACAACTACTGAGCCTGTGCTCTAGAGCCCGCCTGCCACAACTACTGAAGCCCGCGCGCCTAGAGACCGTGCTCCTCAACAAGAGAAGCCACCCCAAGGAGAAGCCCACGCACCGCAGCAAACAGTAGCCCCGGCTCGCTGCAAGTAGAGAAAGTCTGCGCACAGCAACGAAGACCCAATGCAGCCAAAAATAAATTAATTAATTTTTAAAAAGTTAGAACAAAAAAAAATTCACAAGTGGTCTATGTTCATTTTAGAGAATTTAGCAACTATTAATGAAAAAACATTTATTCTTCAGCTACAGTTACACACAATATACTATGGATGCTATATATTAAATCATTTTATTTTTATTTCATAAAAAGTACTAAATAGATGGACACTAAGAAATGAATATCTTTTTTAAAGTAGGAATCATTTTTTAAAAATGCTTTCTTATCATTTTTTTTTTCCCTTTTCAGCAAAGGAGTGTGGTGGTGTCTTCACAGATCCAAAGCAAATTTTTAAAACTCCAGGCTTCCCAAATGAGTATGATGATAACCAAATCTGCTACTGGCACATTAGACTCAAGTATGGTCAGCGTATTCACCTGAGTTTTTTGGACTTTGACCTTGAAGATGACCCAGCTTGCTTGGCTGACTATGTTGAAATATATGACAGTTATGATGATGTCCATGGCTTTGTGGGAAGGTATGTATTGTTTCTCCATACAGGAAGCTAATGAACATCCGATATTTTGCATGATGTTTCTTTTATTTCTCTCCAACTGTCCCTACAACATTGATTTTCCAGTTTATCTATTCTCCTGCAACAGAGTATCCTTTTTTAAAAAATTAATTTATTCATTTATTTATTTTTGGCTGAGTTGGGTCTTCGTTGCTGCACGTGGGCTTTCTCTAGTTGTGGCAAGTTGGGCCACTCTTTGTTGTGGTGTGCGGGCTTCTTATTGGGGGGGTTTCTCTTTGTTGCGGACCACAGGCTCTAGGCGTGTGGGCTTCAGTAGTTGTGGCTCACGGGCTCTACAGCGCAGGATCAGTAGTTGTGGCGCACAGGCTTAGCTGCTCCACAGCATGTGGGATCTTCCCGGACTAGGGCTCGAACCCGTGTCCCCTGCATTGGCAGGTGGATTCTTAATCACTGCGCTACCAGGGAAGCCCCAGAGTATCCTTTTTTAACCATGACTTTTTTTTTTTGCTCTGTTACTCATAATAAGGCATAGTCAGCTGCTATGTCTACTTATTAAAATAGTTATAGCTGCTTTTTGATTTGTTAAGTTGTAACAATTAGTTACATATTCTATTTATAAAGACCTCAAGATTTGACTAACAGGAGAAAGAAGATGTATGAGTTGGGAAATTTTGGGGGTTTTTTAAATGTCCTGATTTCTGTCAACCTCCTAAAAATAATTATAAATTCAATAATTGTTGCCTTTCTTCTGTGTACAAAACATTGTACTAAGCATTATGGATATAAGGCAAATAAGTAAACTATAGCCCCTTCTCTCATTTAGTTTAGCTAAATATACAACGGATATCTTTTTAAAAATAACTTTCTTTGCCATAAAAAACAAGTATTGCTTTCCTCAGTATTTTTCCCTGGGTTTTTTAACATGCCGGGACACATTTTTTTTGTGTTCCCATCCATATCTTTAACATAGTTTAAATTTTACAGTACAAAATTTGCAACATTTTACAAAATATTGTAAATTAAAGAGTGTACAGTTAAGGTGTTTTATGTATTCAGGTCCCCACTTAATAATGTGTATTTTAGACTATCCATTATCAATAGATTATCAGTTATCAATTCTCTATTATCCATAATAGTAATTTAATGAAAGAAAATAGTAGTGGGGATAATTAAAAATGACAGACAATATCTTTTTATTGACTTTGAAATCTGTAACTTAAATACAAAGAAAAACAAAGGCATTTGTTGCATAAATGAACAGCAATTTTTGGATGGAAAGTGGTTTTTGTTTTGTTTTGTTCTTTAGCTGAGACTACTACTATAGAAAAAATATATAGTTTTTTGAAATAGTTTGAAGAAGACTAGAAGTAGGGTTGGAGGAATTAAGAACAAAGTCTTTTTTGAAAGAATGGACCTCCTACCTTGGAAATTAAGGTAACATTTTTATTCTAAACCTAGTTTCAGAAGTCAATTACAGCTCTAGATAAAATCATAAATGATTTTTTAATCTACAGGCTAATTTGTTATTTATTGGATTATATTGTGTGATTTACCTTTATAATAGACTTTCTCCCCCTCAGGAATAAATTACATTGTTTTAGAAACTGATAAAAACCCTTACTTTTTATATTATCATGTGCAAGGGAATTCCCTTCAAGCCATGATAAAAATCACACCCTCTTATGTCTATAAGGTCCAACGTAATTCTTTCCCTTTTAAATCAGCCATACACCCATTCTTCTCTAACTGTGAAGAAAACTTCATGAGATTAATCAGAAACAAATTTAAAAAATTTCCAAGTAGATTCAAATTGTCTACCACACAAAAAGCTTTGTAGACACACAGTTATGCCACAAATTCTTAAGAATCTCATTAATGCTGTGAGAAGGATATTTCAAACAATGTTTTAACCCCTCTTCTCTCTTACAAATTCAAGTAAAAATAAATAAATATAACAATAAAATGTAAAATAATAGAAAAATGAGCCATTACTTAGGGGAAATAAAGTACGTCAATTATCAGTAAGAGCCACTTGCAATAGCTATATAATAATCATTCATGTGACCTCTCTGTTTAAAAAATTCTCTTTCAGATACTGTGGAGATGAGCTTCCAGAAGACATCATTAGTACAGGTAATGGCTCTAAATTGAAGAACAAAACTTTGATTTGCTTTCTCAGTATCAGTGAAAATGAAGGACCCAGTAGTTATTACTATATACTTTTTAAAGTCGAGAGAGCTGAAGACAGATATAGCTTGCTAGCTTGTGAAAGGCAAAGAAGTGCTTATTTATACTTAATGACTTTTATCAACTCCTTGCACTAAAAATGTATACTCTGGTTATTAGCAGGAAATGCAGTCTGAGATAGTCTTGAATCTGCAAATCCATAAATACTGCTGTAGCTTATAATTCCCATAAAATGTGGTAATAAAATGTCCAAACTTTTCATTGATAAAGGATTAAAGTAATTTGTAAAGTTGTTAAAAATACCTTCTATCACTGAAAAAAATTTTACATCATATTTATTGCATTTTCATATTAGTACAGCAATCCCCAGAGAGTCATGTGAAGAACACAGTTCTGTTAGATGTTTTTAATAGATATTACATGAGAAAAGGGCTCTAAGGTCAAGTAAATTTGGGAAATATTGGATTAAACAATGTGAAACAGGTTTCTTTATTAGAAGATGTCAGAGAACTTTTACTATGCTAATTATGCATAGTAAATCTAAAAAGGCTAGCTATAATAGGCAAAGTTTTCCAAATCTTTTTCCTCTTGCTAATTATTTTGTGTGACTTTGTTCCTTGAAATGTACCCCAAGAAATGTCCCTGTAGCAGCATACATTTATCTCAATAAGCAATACCATTGCTATTGCCTCAAACTGCTACTCTCTGACTAAGAACTTTTACTTTCTTAGATGTCTTCATTTTCCTTTTTATTTTCATCACCAGCACCAGTAATTGGCATTCTTTTTTTGTTTTTAATTTTTTTAATTAATTAATTAATTAATTTATTTTTGCCTCTGTTGGGTCTTCGTTGCTGCACGTGGGCTATCTCTAGTTGCCGCGAGCTGGGCTACTCTTTGTTGTGGTGCGCGGGCTTCTCATTGCGGTGGCTTCTCTTGTTGCAGAGCACGGGCTCTAGGCACACTGGCTTCAGTAGTTGTGGCACATGGGCTCAGTAGTTGTGCTCGCGGGCTCTAAAGCACAAGCTCAGTAGTTGTGGCGCATGGGCTTAGCTGCTCCGCGACATGTGGGATCTTTCTGGACCAAGGCCTGAACCTGTGTCCGCTGCATTGGCAGGCAGATTCTTAACCACTGCGCCACCAGGGAAGTCCTGGCATTCTGACTTGCTCTATTTTTCCTCCACATCATAAAAAAATTATCACAATACTTCTCCAACTAAAAACAACAAACCTACATTGAGTTGCAATTTCTAAGCAGTCCTTAAGCTGAGATAATACTAGCTAAAATTAGTCCCACACCCTAGCTTTGCAGTGCATGCAATTCTCATTTATGAATCATTACAAGAGATGGAAATTCTTGTTCAGTCTTGGAATGATTAATGCTTAAAATTTATTAATTCATTACTCTGTTACAGTCTCCCTAGGAAGAGTAATCTGTTAAACTTTTTATTTATCTTTTATTCTTTACTTGAGAACATATTTTATGTTAACAGAAAACTAAAAGAAGACAATTTATGAGATGTAGGAGGTATTTGTGGGGTGAGAATCCTATTTTAAAAATAAAAACAAAATGAACAGAGGGAGAGTCAAAAAGAAGCCTGAAACTTAGTATTTTTCCTGTTTTGTTTAAAACAGACAAAACTTACTCCAAATGTAACACCAAATCAGTGTTTTTCTTGCACAACTGCAAGGAACTAAAAAAAGAAAAACCCACACAATTTATTATTCAAAGAGAAACAAATCAACAGAAAAGAGCACAGCTAAATAAAAAGCCAAAGATTTAGCAAAATAGCAGGAAGAATACATTGATACAAAGTAATAGAAAAAGAAGATATAAAATATGTTTAAAGTATTATCCTATCAGTCAAGCATAATGCTGTTAACATTTTGATTTAGTTTTCTTCTTAAATATATACTTACTCACCCCTGGATATTTATATTAAAAAACAAAAACAGAAAATAAACTAAAAATTACCCATTACTGTACCACTTTAAAAAAAGGTATGTAAAGAAAGAATGTGCCCACCCTTCTCATCTCTCTCCACCCAAGAAAGGCATTGGATAACTATGTGGTGACCGTCCTTCCAGATGTCTTCCTGTATTATACAAACATTATATATCAATACATGGAAACCATGGAGCTATTTTCAAGTCAGAGTATAATATTTAGATCATTCTAATTCTTTTTAATGACTACCTAATAGATACCATAATTTGTCATATACCAATATTTAACATCCTGAAGGTGGTTGTTTTTTATTTTTCTTTCTTTTGCTATTGAACATTTCACCAGACAGTTTTAAACCTCTATTTTGTAGTGCTATTTTATTTTTAAAAAGTAAATTTCTAGAAGTGAAATTTTGGGATCATAGGTGATGTGCACTTAGATGTGGATAGATGTCACCAAATTAGCACTAGCCCTACAGTGCCAATTTGTATTTTAACCAGTTGAGTAATCTGAAAAAAAATTTTTTTTTAAATTTAAACAACTCTTTCAAGTTTGAGAAAAGTACAGTGGAGCACAGCGTGAACTCTGAACTCAAACCTGGTTCTGCCACTTATAACCCTGTGGCCTTGGGCAAGCTACTCAGGTTTTCTGTGCCTCAATTTCATCTATAAAAATGACTATTTTAATAGTATCCAACTCATAGTGTTGCTTTGGAAAATAAGATGAAAGGCACTTCAAGCTGTGTCTTTCATCTTATATATATGGGGTTTTTGTAATGAATTCTGGATTTGTGATCTGTATTAAGAAGGTCTTTCCTTCCTGAAAAAGAAAAATATTCCTATATTTATTTTACACAATAACATTTTTTGTTTTGGTACATTTTGGTCTTTAATGCAGGTAAAATGTAGTTAGGTGCTTTGTGTAAAGGGATCTAGCTTTGTGGGCTTTTTTTTTTTTTTTTTTTTTTAACAAATGCAAGGCTTGTTGCCCTCATTTAGTAAATAATCCATCCATATCTTAATGGTTTGAACTGCCTGCCATTCTCCTGTAATTCTATGGATGTACCTTCTACAAAGAATACCTCTGAAAACAAAATAGACAAAATTTCCTCTAGGACAGATTGGAGAGCCACAGGAAAAAATATGACAGTCCTGTTCCCAGTTGGCAGTGAAACTACAGACTCTACAGCTTGAGAATCTAATTCTGAATTCTGGGAGTCCTGTTCATGAATTTTTATATTCTCCTATGAGAATGAGTCTTTGAATTGTCAGCCAAATTGAAGGAGAGTAACATCATGGTTCTTTTGCACCTTCCTCCTCCCCAGGAAATGTCATGACCCTGAAGTTTCTAAGTGATGCTTCAGTGACAGCAGGAGGTTTCCAAATCAAATATGTTGCAGTGGATCCTCTATCCAAATCCAGTCAAGGAAAGAATACAAGTACTACCTCTCCTGGAAATAAAAACTATTTAGCTGGAAGATTTAGCCATTTATAAAGCAAAGAAAGACATTCCGCATTTATGTTTCTATCTTTTGGAGCCCCTTTGATCTCACTTTTATATTATTATTATTATTAACATTTATTTATTATTTTTCTAAATGTGAAAGCAATACCTGATAATTTGGGGAAAATTGGAAAATACAGAAAACTTTAAATGAGAGAATAAAATCTCCCATAATCCCATTGCATAAAAATAACAAGCATTAACATTCATATATTTTTCTTTTAGTCATTTTTTGATTTGTGGTATATGTATATATGTATCTATATGTATTTGTATTTCAAATTTTGGAATGCTGCTCTATGTACAATTTGATATCTTGGATTTTTTACCACTGAACTTTATGGTGTACACGTTTTCCCCTATCGTTGAGTATTCTGCAAAAACATGATTTCATTTACAGTATTCTGTAAACTGTCCATGCTATGATTGTTCCATACTTTATGTAAGCCTGTCTATTGTGGGAATTATAGGTAGTTTTCATAAATATTGTTTCAATAAACATCCTTGGACATATATGTATTTGTACAGCTCTCTAATTATTTGGGATAGGGTCCTAGAGGTAGAATTACTGAGTCAGAGATTAATTAAAAAAAATGTTTTTGAGGGAGATAAGCTGGACTTCATGACACTAATGGGGAGTCGTGGGCTGGTAGGCTGCACTACTCACTCAGCCTACAAAGACATCCTCTAGGGAAGCGAGAAAGTGAATGGACTAGGAAAATAGCAGGTCATTAACCAGCAGCATTAAGGGTCCATTTGACCTTTGTGGTATGGACTAACAGGAGATTGGTCAGCGAGTCTCTTTTCCTCTGGCCATGTTCAGCTACACAGGACAAAGACAGATTAGTGAGAGAGCAGGAGTCAGCAGGGTCAGTTTTGCCAAGTGAGTATAAGACAGGGGCAAGGGAGTAGAGGATATGGGTAAGAAGGGATTGCAATGATAACCCAAGGAATTTAGTTTGATAAGGGGTGAAGAGAGGACAGTAAGGAAATGAGGGACAGTAAAAAAGTGGTGGGCTCAAAAAAAAAAAAAAAAAGTGGTGGGCTCAAAGAATTGTCAAATCAGAGTATGAAAGGGGACGCACTGGAGAGAGAGTAGGTAGTGGTCAGAGAATGAGGTATTAAATATAACCTTCTGTGGCAGGCAGAACAGTGTTCCCTCCCAGGATGTCTGCATCCTAATCCCCAAAACCTGTGAATATGTTACCTTAGGTGACAAAAGGGACTTTGCACAAGTGATTAAGTTAAGGACCTTAAAATGGGATATTATCCTGGATTGTCCAGGTGGGCCCAATGTGATCACAGGGGTCCTTAAAAGTGGATGAGGGAGGCTTAAGAAAAAGAGTCAGAAAAAAGACGTGACAAGAGAAGCAAAGTCAGAAAGATGCAACATTGATGACTTTGAAGATGGAGGAAAGGTGCCATGAGCCAAGGATTGTGGAAGCTGGAAAAGGCAAAGGGATTCTCCCCTAGAACTTCCAGACGGAATGCATCCCTGCTGACTCATTGATTTTAGCTCAAAGAGTCCCATTGGACTTCTGAACTACAGAACTGTAAGATAATAAATTCATGTTGTTTTAAGCTACTATGTATGTTACAATTTGGGTGGAGCAGTGATATAAAGGTAATACACCTTTTAATCAGTTTCATGCAGGGTTAGACTTAGGAATAAAAGTCTAATTCTAGATGACAAAGCATAAACAAGAAGAAGCTGTAAACAGAAGATAGCTATTTTCTAAACTCAGAGAAATTAATTTAGGTGAATATTATTTAAGGCTAGTATAACATTTCTCTGTTCATGTTTTCCTGCCTACATGTAAACTGTTTTTACTTCCTTGATCACGATTTTTTTTTTTCCACTATTGTTTTTACTCTTTTCCTCCCACCCATAGTCTTTTTGGTCTTTTTTCCCCCCAGTTTTTAAAAATTGAAGTGTAATTGACTTACAATATTATATTAGTTTCAGGTGTACAATATTGTGATTTGATATTTTTATACATTACAAAATGATCACCATTTTAAGTCTAGTTACCACCTGTCACCATACAAAGTTATTACAATATTATTGACTATATTCCCTCCACAGGCGTTTTGGTCTTTATCAGAATTAACTTTTTTTTTCCTTTGGAAATTTTGATAATGGAATTTAAATAGTAAATTGAAGAATGTGTGTTAACTTGAAAATTACAATGCACTCTAGGATATAAGGTATTATTATTGATGATAATGAATATAAATCCTCTAAGATTTTCCTGAAAATAATATTTAGATGTATGAAATATTTAGAATGATGTTAAATGTTATCTATTACCACTGACCCAGATTCCCCTATATCTCAATGGTGTAGTGAGAGTATTATATGAGAATATTATACACAGGATCAGAGATGGGTTATAATGACTTCTAGCGATTTGACTGAATTAGTTACAAGCCTTCCTACTGAGATTTAGGATACATTATGATCATATTCTAAGATCTATAGAAATTCTTGAAAAGGAAGAATTATATAGAGAGATAATTTTTAATAATAATTTTAGTAAAAAAAGTGACCTTGTAGAACATTTTTAAAAACTTGATTTTATTTATTCAATTTAGCATCTTTTGCATGTCTACTCTAGTATTCTTTATGTTCTAGCAATTCCACTTCATTTGAATGTTTTCAGTTTAATACCTGCTTAAATGTATCTGTAGGTTTTTTTCTCTATTTTTTTTTCTTTGTCATGTTTATGTGTGGGTTTGGGAGGTTCCTTTCTTTTAAGTTTTACTTACTTTCAATTGAATGTGATCTTGATATCAATATCATTCTCTGAAAATAAAACAAACCGACTAATGTTTAAACATGTACATACGTACGTATTCAATATTTTATTTAATATAACATTTGAGTTCAGATTTTTTTGAAGAAAATTTTTTGGAAAGGAAGTTTTTTCAGAATATGTTTTACAACTCATTCCCCTCAAAAAAAATTTATTTTGAAGGCAAGTTGTTTTCATGTCTTGTGCTGTTTTTAAATGTCTAAAATATATATCCACAGCTATTTAATTTCCTTCTGAACAAATGCCCAGCAAAGAAAACCACAAGAAGAAATCACATCCCACAAAACCTCAATATATAAAAGTAAACTCCCTAAAAACACAGGCTCTTGGGCCTCCACTGGGAAAGCCACATCCTTAGCAGTATTCATAAAATATAAAACAGTTTTTGAGCACTTATTTGACTGTCAAACAATTATAAATAGGACTATTACTTGCCTAAGTGTTAGTAACCTCACAGTAGTTCTCATGATGTCAAAAGAAAAGTTACATGGTATTAGATTTAACTGAGTCAAGATGTTCATTTAAAATAAAATTACATGTACAATACAGTACAAAAACTAATTTTCATATTGCTTTTTGAAGTTCTATCCCTGCTACAGTAAATAGGAATCACTTGCAGGTATGTTTATATACCTGATAAGTATGCCTCATCAACAGTTTATTCACATATTGTAGGCAGAAGTAGGAAAAATTGCTCCAGTATATGAGCTGTTTCTTGCAAAACCAGAAAGAGCAAGGTTAGAAGGTAAAAATGATTAGAATTGTAACGAGTTGGTTTTTTTTTTTTTTCAATTTAAAAGTTACAGGTAATCAAGTTTAAAAGTGCTATAGGGCTTCCCTGGTGGCACAGTGGTTGAGAGTCCGCCTGCCGATGCAGGGGACATGGGTTCGTGCCCCGGTCCGGGAAGATCCCACATACCGCGGAGCGGCTGGGCCCGTGAGCCATGGCTGCTGAGCCTGCGCATCCGGAGCCTGTGCTCCGCAACAGGAGAGGCCACAACAGTGAGAGGCCTGCATACCGCAAAAAAAAAAAAAAAAAAAGTGCTATAGAGGACAATACAGTGCTAGATAAACATCAGTGTTCCAGCTAAAGTGTTACTGCTATGGGGAGAAGCAACATGTATGCTCTGCCTAAACAGCAGTATCTTCAGCACAGTTGATCATCTACTTAATACAGCTCTTCATCTAGTCAACTAAGATTTTTCTTTTTCTCTTTCTGCTTTCAATTTAATTTAATTTTGGGCTAGTTTATCTGCTAGCTGCAGTACTGCAGACAGACACTAGGGAGAGACTGCAGTACTGCAGACAGACACTAGGGAGAGGAGATTATGGGCTTCTGAGAAGCAGCAGAGGTAAACCTCTTTAACTGGGAAATCACTTGCACAAGTCCAGAGAAGATGCATACCCAGAAAAGGTTTGAGAGGTTCCCAAATCTCTAGCTAAGCTGATTCGTTTTTTCAGATGCCCAGATCTCAACAGATGAGCACAAGGCATACAAAGCAACAGGGAAACACGGCCAAATCAAAGGAAAAACGAGAATAGCCACAACAATTTTGAAAAATAAGCAGAAATTTGTAAAACTTTCTGATTTCAAAACTTATTATAAAGCTTCATGGGACTTCCCTGGTGGTCCAGGGGCTAAGACTCCGCACTCCCAATGCAGGGGGCCCAGGTTCAATCCCTGGTCAGGGAACTAGATCCCACATGACACAACTGAGAGTTCGCACGCTGCAACTAAAGATCACCCATGCCGCAACGAAGAGCCTGCATGCCACAACTAAGACCCAGTACAGCCAAATAAATAAATAAATATTAAAAAAAATAAAGCTTCAGTAACCAAGTGAATGTGGTATTGGTATAAAGATAGACCTATAGATCAATGGAACAGAGTCCAAAAATAGACCTACCCACGTACAGTCAATTGAATTTCCACAAAGATGCCTACGCAATTCAGTGGGAGAAAGGATACTCTTTTAAAGAGTGATGCTAGAACAATTGGATATCCATATGCAAAAGAAAGAAAGAAAAAAGGAAGGAAGAAAGACCATTGCCTTATACCATTTAGAAAATTAGCTCATATTAACTGACCTAAAGGTCAAAATAAAACCTATGAAATTTCTGGAAGAAAATATAGGAGAAAATCTTAGTAACTATGGAGTAAGCAAATATTTCCTAAATAGGACTTAAAAAACATAAACTATAAAGGGAAAATGATACATTAGACTTCATTAAAATATAAAACTTTGCTCTTCCAAAAATACTGTTAAGAGAATGAAAGAACAGACTGATAGAAATATTTGCAAAACATACACCAAAGGACTTATATCCAGAACAAAGAACTCTTAAAACTCAATAATAAAAAAGACAAATAAAATTTTTAAATGGGCAAAAGAATTGGGCACTTCACTAAAAAAAGTTATATGGATGGCAAATAAACACATGAAAAGGTGCTCAACATTGTTAGCCATTAGGGAAATGCAAATTAATACCACTCGATATTTGCTAGAATAGCTAAAATTTTAAAAAAAGAAAGAAAACCCCCCCACCACACCAAGTTTGTTTGTTTGTTTTAACATTTATTTATTTGGCTGCATCAGGTCTGAGTTGTGGCATGTGGGATCTTTAGTTGCGGCATGTGGGATCTAGTTCCCTGACCAGGGATCAAACCCAGGCCCCCTGCATTGGGAGTGTGGAGTCTTAGCCACTGGACCAACAGGGAAGTCCCACCACACCAAGTTTTGATGATGATATGACCAGCTAGAATTTTATTCATTGCTGGTGGGAATGCAAAATGGTAGACATTTTAGAAAACAGTAGGTAGATTCTTAAGAAGTTAAATGTAAATTCACTCAGTGTCTGTCTGCAGTACTGCAGTCTCTCCCTAGTGTCTGTCTGCAGTACTGCAGTCTCTCTAGTGTAACAAGCTATTGTGCTGGCCAACCTGGTATTCAAAGTACACATCCATTCTTTTCCCATCAGCTCACTGAGTCAGGCAAGGCAGAAACCAGTCCCTTGGGCAGCCCTCTGAAAAGCCAGAACGTTGGATGCACATTCCACTTTTCTGTTTCCCTCCCAAGGGAGAAATTGAGAGTCGGGAGTGCCAGGTACTTCACTGGGGGTGGGAGGATGGGGGATGGGGAGGAACTAGGACAGGCAAATAAGAACTTTCCTACCTGCTT